AAACTGAGATTAAGAATCAGGATTTCTGGCATGTTTTTTTATGATGAGGAAAAAAATCTAATGCGCGTGCATAAAGCATACCCCTTCCTTCAAAAAAGCCCTAAAAATTGGTTGGTGGTGGCTTTGAGGTCCGGATTTTAGATCATTCCAGATATTGAGATGTCCGGATCTCGGACTTTGTACTGTATATAATATATATACATCTTTCAAAATATAACTTACCAGTAGGGATGGATTCACTCTTTTAAAATAATTCTACTTTAATTAAACTTAGGAGATAATATAATCAATTAATCAATATTGTTTAGGAAATAAATTATATATATATATAGTAAAAAATGTATATTTTCACTATTCAAGTATTCACTGTGACAAGTATTCTTATCTTGTCACATGAACAGGCCTCTGTGGAAAGGGGCTTCTCTGTAAATAAAGCAATTGAAATTTGAAAATTTAAGTGACTCATCATACATTTTTCAACGCACAGTATTTGATTACATAAAATTTTCTGGAGGTGTTCTTAATATCGAAATTAATAAAGAAATGAGATCAGCAAGCAGCTTCTGCAAGAAGTGGAGTTCGTTATTTAGAAGTTCAGTATTTAGAAGAACAAAAATCTTTAACTAAATCTGAAAATTCAAACAGGAAAAGAAATATTATTGAGAAGAAATTGATTATATGAAGAAGAAAAAAAAAATTCTTCAAAGGGACATTAAAGATATTAATGAAGAAGTAGATGCTTTAGCAGATGAAAGCTGAGACCAGCAGGAACATTGATTTGTTTATCAAAGCAAATGAAACTTAGAAGAATAGTTAAAGAAAAGGAAATAGAATAAATTAGATGTTAAAATAGCTGAAAAAATTTCAGATTTAAAAAAAGCACAAATGTTTTGTATCTTTTATTGTACAGTTTATTATTCTAGTATCTTTCAAAAAACCAAGGAAATAAATTGTATGTTTACAAATCAGTTATTTTAATCTGCAAAATATTCTTACATTGTGATTATAATAGTAGTTGACTGTGTTTAAATAAATATCAAATAAGTTAAATAATAATCATGTAAATCTCTAAAATAGTGACTGTTATTAGTGTAAAATACACTTATACATGTTTTTCAAGAAATTATGTTTCCTAATTTAATGTTATCTACTTCATAACTTGTAGGGAGTTAGTTTAATTTTCAAAATTGTTTTATGGTAAGTATTAAATTGAATTTAATAATAGTGCATAATACACACTTCTGTTAGTTTCTTAAAGTGAAATTACAAGCATGAAGTTGGTTGTATGGATAATTGCTTTATTCTATTTTTTTTTTTTTTTTTTTTTTGTTTGCTGATAGGTCCTTAATTTTTTCTTTGATGGTCCTTAAAAGCCCTTAAAAGTTCTTAATTTTCATGTAAGGAAATGTGTACGAACCCTGGTTGTTAAAATCATGCTTTATTCTTCACTCAAAGAAAAATATTTTACATTATTATACTCACAAAGACAATTACAATTCCTTCTTTTGATTTTAGTATACTTCAGTTAAGGTCATTCAACAATTATAAACAAGGGGAGGAGTGAAGGAAACCAGAAGAAACTGCTTGATCTTCTGTCTGAAATGTTCAGTTGTGTTGTACAATAGTTTCAGATCTGTACATCATAGAAACAAATTTTGCTGAATATACAAGAGAAATAAAAGTTCTTATTTATATTTATATCCAACCATATTAATTCCACTAAAATGCAAAATTCTCATTAATTTACTTTAAAAGTTCCTTTTCATGCAAATCTGTTTTATTATTTTTTAAATTAATTAAATAAGTAATTGTGACTTTAAGAAAATCCAATTGTGGCTTTCAAAGTTTCCTGAATTCTAACATGCAGCTCCTCGTGGCCTGAAGTTTGGCCACTCTTAGCATATTTCATTCAATTCCATTGTCAGTCCGGATGGAAAATCGTTTTTTCATTTTCCGATTCTTATTGCTTCTGGAACAGGTAATTTTTGTTGGAAAAATCATTGTGGCTGCAGTTGGTGATGCTATGATTTCCTTTTCTTCTTTATTTTTATTTTTTTTTTAAGAACTGTGTATATTATTGAAGCAGACAAATTTAATAATAATTTTTTGTGCGAATATCAGATTGCCATCGACCTTCATCTAATCATCTGTACAGCTGCATTTTAGTTTCTAGTGAAATGTTTTTCTCCACTTTACTTTCATTTTGTTTGCAATCACTCATTGTAAAAGCTAAAAATTTTGGAATTTATTACAATAAATAAAATACTATGTTCATACCTTTTTACACACAGTAACATTGATGACTGATCATAAATCCAGCAAACATGCATTAACATTGTAATGATATTGTTGCTTCTACCTCAATGTGCTCACCTTGAGACCAACAAGCCACATACACTGTGAAACAAAGATTGGTGCAGAATGGCCAGAAAGGGTGCACGTTGTGACAAACTAACTTAGCAATACTGATTTTGAAGAATCCCATTACAGTACAAAGTCTGTAATCCAGACTCGTCGGGACTTTGCCGATTCCGGATTAGGGGATTTTCCAGATTATAGATCATCAATTTAAATCTGGTAAGATAGCATGCAGCAATTATACAATTAAAAATATGAAACCGTAATTTATGAAATAAAGAGCAATTATGATCTAAATGGTATCAAAATTTACAAAAAAAAAAAAAAAAAAAAAAAAAAAAAAAGCGTAATATTTATTTGCTTATTTTATTAAACATTTCTTTCAATGTAAGTTGTTTAAATTTGTTTGTTGTTTTGTAAGTTGTATTTGTTGTTTTGTAAGTTGTATTATTTGCTGTAAGTTTGTAGTTTGTAAGTTGTTTTGTGGTAATACTTTCTCTTTAATTCTATAAACAGACATAATTTCTTGTTCAGTTACAAAGTTCCACTGTTCAAGTCCTGTAATTGCTGTGTCGAGAATAACGACTAACTTGTCAATCGAAATTTTTTCATTTTCAGTAACCTCTCTGTCACTTTCTTCACTATTGGAAGTGTGCATTGGTAAACACTTTACGCGCATACGTGCGAATTAAAAGCGCATGCATAAATACTTTACGTACATGCGTAAGTTTGTGGCTTTGAGGTCCAGATTATTGATCATTCTGGAATATGGACTTTGTACTGTACTGCCGCATGTTACTGAAACAGCACTAGAGTTCTACTGTAATGAGGCAATTTTACTTTTCTTTATTTCATTATATTTAGCAACTTTAAAAGTGAAGGATTTTGCGGGAAAGAGGTAAAAGGAGTCAAAAATGTGTGTCAACTAATAGCAGTCTGTTTGCAGTTCTGAAATAGGTTATTCTAGGACTTCCCTGGGTTCTTTGCTTATTATGATTTAAGTTTCTGTGAAGTACAAAAATTCATACAACCATATGGCTAAAAATAGGTAGTGCTCTCAAATACTATGTTCTTTCTTTTCCTTCTTGTTTGGAACATTTATTGGAATACAAATTTTATTGGAATTCAACAAAATATCCTGTGTTGTAAAAATTTCTGTCCTGGGCAGGCAGATTCTGTCAACAGGATTTTTTGCTGCTGGTGGCTCTTTTTTTTTTTCATTTTCTTCTCTCAGAAGCAATTAACTTTAGTCTTCTCACAGCAATTTCTTTATCAGTTTTACTTTTGAAAATCCTATAGTGTTGTAAAATGTGTTAAAACTTTCATTTTTATCTTTAATGAGAAATGTCTTCTGTTTTCTCTCCACTTTTGCAGTAAGCAAGATTTAAACAAGAAAACAAAAAACAAAAATTAATTAATTAATGTATTTATCAAATGACTGGGAAGTGAATCTTTTCATCTGCAAATTGTCTGATAAGTAAACTTCCACTGTTCTCCTTAGTGACCTCCTTTCCCACCAGGAGTAGGACTTGAAATCTAATGCTGAAGAAAAGAAATAGCTTAAGGAAAATAATATATATATATATATATTTAAAATAAATCAGGAGGAAAATAACATGTAATCAAAGTTATGAATTGTATAAATTAAACATTTTGTTATTATCGTGAACAAAAATATGTCACCACAAAAGTAAACTAACATATAAATGCAAGAAACCTATAAGAATTTCCACCATGGCTTTTTTTATTTTTTATCTTCAATGAAACGTTATTCTTTCACATTGAACTTTGATTAACTACTTTCTCTCTAACAACATACCCTTGATCAACTTAAACAGCATTTTGTTTTAAGAATTTAAATTGGTATATGTTTTGCAATCCAAACATGTCACTTCCTATTTGGTAAATAATTGTACAAGATTTGCACTATGCACTGAGTCTAAATATTGTGTTATCTGTTATTATGTACTTGTGATTCTACCCCAAACACGCTTTTCATCCAGTGTCGAAAGATATTAACTCATATACATGTGTTTAATTCCACACGTTTTCTTCGCTAAATTGTAATTACATTTTGCTGATACACAGTTAATGCTCAATTTAATGTCCACACATGTCGTAGTGAAACTAGATTTAGTATTCTTTTATTAGTTTCATGAAAGGAATTCTGTACATGGGAATCGATAGCAAAATTTTGTTCATGCTATTATCAACTAAGTATTTCTAATAAAAATAATCTATTGAATTTAAGAGAGTATGACTTAATTCTAGAATAAAAGTTTAAGGTTACTATAAATGAAATCCCCCTCCCACCTCCCAAAAATTTGGTTATGCAACATTTGTATCACTCAAAAAAGCAATCAAATATTGTTTTGGGGGTAATTTTTTTTTAAACATGCTTTTCTAGCACAGTTAAAGCTAAGTAATTTTTTATTTTACCTTTTCTTTCAAATATTATTTAAAATGGCAGGAGCATTTGCAACTATTTCTCTGTCAGCTATTGGCACTAACAGTGCATTTACATTTGTCTGCTGTATCTAATCCTTTTGTTTATAAATCCTTACAATGAAAAGTTTGCTGCAAGATTTTTACCCAGTTTTGTATGCCAGGATTTTTAACAAAAATTGTTTTGCCTCCTAAAGTAAAGGGACCTGTTTCCGCTCTGCACCGGTTCACTCCTGCTTAAAGGTGGTTAGTGCGGAGACCTGATCGACTTAGGGAGACTTTGAGGACAGAACTTCCCAACCTCGTGCCGTCCAGCAGCCCAGACCTCCAAAGCAGCTGGATTACAGCACCACGCCACCATTGCTGGTCAGTAAAGGGCCTGTATCTGATCACTTTGACTTTTGAAAAAAAAATGGCATGTAATTTAATTTAATATTGACAGAATTTTAATGAAAATCTCTGTGAAACTAAGGTTGCTTTTTTTATGAGATTTAAAATTTTACACTGCTTCCATTTGATGGTGTTAATCACAAACCTACTATGACTACTGTTTGATTTTTCAAGGTAACTGAATTTGAGTCAGTCAGTCGTAATGTCAGTCACGTCCTGTCACTTCCCCTGGAACCTTGACATAACTCACTCATTCATTCAAACATAGCCAACAATCATATAATGTAAACATTTATTAAGGAAAAAAAAGCTGGATAGGTTTCAAATCCATCTTATGATACTAGCTTGCCATCTTTCTGAGTTCCAGAGAGAAATCATGGTGACGTATCATTTTGCTTGTAGTTGTTAGGCACGTACAAAGTATGTAATAAAGGTAGTTATGTATTATGGCAACCACCTTAATATGATGTATAATTTTGATTGTAGCTGCTAGGCATGAACATTGCACAAAAAAAAAAAAAAAAAAAAAAAAAAAAAAAAAAATCAAAGAAAGAAAAAAGGGACATTTCTATATCTCTCGTTCTACTTGGGCCGATTGACGAAATTCAACTTGTGTTTTTTATATCTCGAAAGCACGAATTAGTATATACATTAGATTTATATATAGCATTGTTCTAGTATAGGTATTTTGACACAAAATCAGACTTTTTCTGAAATGACATGCTAATGTTTTTCCATATTTCGATTGTACGACTTAAATTATGTCAAACTGCCAAGTTTTGTAAAAATCGCACAAGTAATTTTTAAAAAATTAGGTCTCAAAATTTTAGGTCTTCCATGTTAATTGGTGTATATTTATTAATATCTTATTTTTTTATTAAACTTACTTGACTTCCTTTTTTTTCACATTTCGAAATTTAGGTTTATTCCAAATATAATTAGCTCATTTTTTATGAATTATTAAAATTTGTATTTTTAAATAATTTTTGTAAATTTTTTGAAAAAATTTTGAATTATAATCTATAAAATGTTTACCTATGTTGATTGTCTTTGGTAGTAGTATTTCTAAGCATACATGCAAAAAATTAGAGTTTTTATTCAAAATTTCCTAAGATATATGTGAATTTACATTTTGGCATGTTTTGAAATTTGCTGTATTTACTATAAGCAATAATAACAAAAATGTGATTTACGCACTTTGTTAAAATTATTTGAAAGGATGAACAATAGACTTTTTTCCTCTAGTGCATCAATGAGAAAAAGGAAAGTAAGTAGGTTACTATAAATTAAGATTTCCACCAAGTGAATTATTCTTGGCAGAAATTGAAAAAATTGCTCCAAGATAAATGCTTGAATTTCTCTGTAAGTTTTGCACCAGATTTTACAAAATTTAATTTTTGGGCATAATTTGAGTCATACAATTGAAATATTGAAAAAAAAATGGCATGTAATTTCTGAAAAAGTCCGATTTTATATAAAAATACCCATGTTAGAACAATGCTGTGTATAAATCTAATATATATTCGAAGTCATGCTTTCGAGACATGAAAAACGCAGTTTGAATTTCATCAATTGGCCCAGTAGAACTGTCCCAATTTTTTTTGTGCAGTGTACAAGGGTACCTAATAAAGGTAGATGCATATTGTCACATCCACCTTAATACATTTTGTTTGCAGCTGTTAAGCATGTACAAGGTACCTATTAAAGGAACAAAATTCTGTTGAAATTTCATCAGGAATATTTTATTTTGCCACAAATTTACTCAAGGGAACAATAATAAGATGCGTTTGGTATATAATTGGTTTGCAACACCGACTTTGTGAAATTCTGTGATTTTTTTCAATGCAAAAATCCATCGCTGGGTAAATGGGGAGAAGAACAAGCGGCATTAACAAATAAAGGAAGATTTTGCAACACACGTGTTATATTCTTTAAATATATCATGTAATCCTTATTAAGTAATTAAAATTTGTATTTAAAAAACTTTATGTATGTTTTCTTTTAATATGTTGATAATGTCTGCCAGTTTATGGTAAATATCTATAGTTTGGGAATAATTTAAAAAAAAAGTCATGAAATTCGCGAACTGGCACCCCATAAGTAATTTTTACCCTTTCATCTATAAAAAATAGAGAAACTGCTCCAAGGTGGTTGTATTGATACGTAAGTACCCTTATAAATTACCCAATACTGGCATCTAGGTCAAAGCATACGACTTCCTGGACACAAGATCTTTTTAAAGAGCTGCAAGGCTTATTATAAACTACAATACATATACAGTCAAAAGTCGTTAATTCGGACACCCATAATCCGGAATGATCTATAATCTGGACCTCAAAGCTAAAAACTTTCTGCGTATGCGCCGCGTTGACACATGCGCATAGGCGTTTACGCGTGTACGTAAGACTTTTTACCACTGCGCATATGCGTTTGCGCAAGCGCAAAATACGTTTTCGCGTTCGCGTTTTATGTATAACGGACGGTATAATCTAAAATTATCTAATTATCTATTTCAGTTAATGTTGATGATTGCATTGTTACTTAATCTTCGAATTGGATCCGGTTTATTATTTTTTGCAGACTGTAAGAGCAATTTTATAAAAGTAAACTTGAACTTTCGATTATGTCAAATAGAATTTCCGTTTCTGGAGCTCCCAAAGGATCGTACAAAACGAAAGTCTGTTTCAATGTCCATCACACAAAAAGTGGAATTGCTGCAATATATGGATAAAGACATGAAGAATGTGACAGAGAGGTTAGTGAAAACGAAAAAATTTTGATTGACAAGTTAGTCGGTATTCTCGGCACAGCAATTAACGGGACTTGAACAGCGGAACTTTGTAACTGAACAAGGAATCGTGTCTGTTTATAGAATTAAAGAGAAAGTATTATCACATAAAACGAAGCAACTTTAAACAACTTACATTGAAAGAAATGTTTAATAAAGTAAACACATTAATATTGAGGTTCTTTTTTTTTTGTAAATTTTGATACCCTTTAGATCATAATTGTTCTTTATTTCATAAATTCAGGTTTCATATTTTTAATTTTAGAATTTCTGCATGCCATCTTACGAGATTTAAACTGATGATCTATAATCCGGAAAAATCGATAATCCGGAATCGCCGAAGTCCCGACAAGTCCGGATCAACAACTTTTGACTGTAATAACAACATTAGCCAAATGGCAAAAATTTTATGTATTTTCAGAACCAATATAGTTTGCATAATTATCTCTGTTTAAATAATAGTCATTAATTAATTTTAATGTCACCTAGTTACTTGCATAGGGCCATTTTTTAAGTTTACTTCATGATAGTTTAGTAAATGGAACTATTAACTGAAATGTTTTGAAGACATTAAAAAAAGAATGTGAATGATCAATATGAAAATTTTCAGAGTGGATTTTTATGTATAGTTATTTCTAAAGTTATATTAAACTAATTGAAATAAATCATTAGACTATAATGCAGTAAAGAGTTACTTTAATGTATTTTCTTATGTTATATCTTGTTTATTTTTGTAGGTTTCATATTATTCATATTATTCCCAAATGAAGTTGGATCTTCCAGATCATATGCTTTCATTCCAAACTTTGTATTGAACTCAGCTTAACTCAGTTATTGATTTTGTGTCTTTAGGATTTCTAGTAAGTTTACTTCTTTTGTTTGTTGCTTAATTAGTTGGATTAACCAAATAAATGTTTTGTCACTAATATTTTGACAAGAAAAGAAATTTATCAGTATGCAAATGTAATACATTGCATTTTGAAAGGAAAGATGTAATTAAAGTCAGGTATGAAAGGTATCATGGTAAAAATGTTATATTTTACAGGAACAACCAAAACTTCTCTCCCCTCAATCCAGTCAAAAAATAGAATCAAAAGGGATCATTTAAAATATATTTTGGTTTTTTAGGAAAATAAAAGTAAAAATCTTTCAAATTTGTTTTTTAGTTGTAAAAAAGTTCGCTTTCTTAAAAATAAAATAATAGTTGTTAAAAAATTAAAAATATACATTGTTATCAAATATATCTGTCTTTGTTTTAAAATAATTTTTTTTAAATTAATTAACAACCTAAAACTAGTAAGGAGCTGTTTAAAAATAATAAAGAGTAAGTAGAAAAACAAAAAAAAAAATCCATTTTAACCTGCATTGAAGTCATAGTTCTTACATTCCTTTTTAATCAGTGACATGTTTTAAGACAGCAGTCCCTGACTTCTTGGAACTTCTTGATTTGATCAGGGTCTGCTTGTATTACCTTAAATTTTGCTTAACATCTTTATCAGTTCTTCATGTTCTTTTAACTGATAGATAATATTGCACTTGACTGTTCTGAAATATATATCCCATGGGAGAACCCAGTGACCTTTTATCGACCATTTTGTGTTTGACATTTTACCAGTTTTTACAAAGAAACTTTTTTGTGGTTCACTTTTAAGCCCTTCATAAATGAGAAATAATCAATATACACATTGTTTCAAAAAGCACTGAGGAAGTACGTTCGAATGTGTGAGTTACGGGGGGGGGGCAACACTAGGAGTTGGATTCTTTTATTTGCAAAATATATTAAAGCATTTTACAGTAGAAGCAACTCAGTTAAAAAATGACAGCAAACTTATGCTTAGATTTTACCTTATTCTGATCTTCTTGAAAAAAATGCTTTCAGTTACGTGTTTATTGATACCCAAGGTCTACACAGACAAAGCCGTAGCTAGGGTTTTCAATGCCCGGGGACAATTAAAGATTTTGCACCCCCTTCTGGATGCCAAGAATTGAAAACATTCTATTCTAAAATTTCTTAACTTCAGTTTGTCAATATAACACTTTTAAAAGTTTGTTTTTATGTTTGATTTGGTATTCTTAAAGACATGTTAAACTAACTGAAATAAATCATTAGATTTCTGCTGTCTAAGAGTTTGGTAATCAAGTTAAAAAGGAAATCTGTATTTGTATGGTATGTTCCTTCTGGTATGTAAAGTTGGCTTGAAATTTCTTTAAAGCAAAACTTCCATCTTTGTAACCTGGCATTTTTGAGCATTGCTAGGTTAAAAATTCTATAGACTTTGACCTCTCTAATTTCTGAAAAAGTGTTGAAGTAGCATCACATGCTTTTATTTATATCATGGTATAATTTTCTTGTGATATAGAGAACTTTCTCCTTGTAATTCACTAGAGTTTTCTTTATTATAAGGAGTGTTCAAATGGAAAGATATGAAACGACGTTATGAGTAGAATCAAAGTCTTTTATTTGCAAATAATCGCCGCAAGCATGAGCACAATTATCCCACTGTTTCACGAACCAAAGGATTCACTGTACCCTGAATTCCTTTGGCTGTGCAGGAGCCAGACTTCCTCTACATCCTTTAGTTTGTCATCTGAGTTGAAGCACTTTCTTTTGAGATGTGTTTTTAGTAGAATTAACACATAGAAATCACAGGGCAACATGTCCAAGGAGATGCTCAAGGTTCTCCCACTTGAACTTGGCCATTACATTTTGTGTGACTGTGAAGATGTGTCAAGGCACTTTACTGTGGAGTAGAGTCACTCCCACCAGGAGCAGCAAGGCTGTTTGCTCTTCGTAGACTTACATAGCTTACAGAGTGTCTCACAGTACACATCACTGTTAATGTTTTTTCTGTGCTTGAGGAATTCGATAATTAAGACACAATAACACGCCGAATAAATACTAATTCAGAAGTCAACACAGCGTTATTTACAAAATTTTCACAGGACTAGTTTCGATGGTTTACCGAACCACCATCTCAGCTGCAAAACCGCAAATGAACCAAGATGAAATATGAATTAATAAGATAAGAAAGCCTGGACAAGAATAAGCAAGTGGCGCCATCTGTTGGTGAACCAGAACTAAAACATAATTTCTTTAAGGGCGAAGGCAAATTTGATTGGAATTAGGATCGTTACCAGACAGAAGATTTTTATGAATGTGAATCCTCTAGAATCCAGTTCTCCAATGGAAGTGTTTTTGAATAATTTGGCAGCAGAAAAAATTGAACGTGTGGTTTTCGGCCAACAATGTTGAGCACAAAGACTCTGTGTTTCCTTTTTTCTACATATGCCTCATGTTCCTTGACGCGAAATTTTATGGCTCTCTTAGTTGGCCAATGTAAATTAAACCACACTGGCAAGGACCTATAATACCCCCGGAATTCATATCCGGAATGGGGTCCTTGAGTATGGAACTCGGAATTTTATTGATGGGAGAATAAAAACCCCAAGTTAAATTTCTGCAAAATATGTGCAACTTTATAGCTAATTGATGGAAAGAAGGGAATGACAACAGACGCTACATAGACGATACTTTTACTCTGTTTGAAGGTAATAAAGATGATTTAAATAAAGTTCTTTCAACAATGAATTCTATTGATCCTGCTATTCAGTTCACTTTTGAACTTGAGACTTGCAATTCTCTTCCGTTTCTTGACATTCTGGTTACACGTAACACATCCAACTTCAGTACTACGGTTTACCGTAAACCTTCATCGGTTTGCCTTCCACCACACTTTAAATCATGTCATCCGACTAAACAAAGTTAGCTTCTTTATTTCCTATGTTTTCCGTGCTCTCAGTTTGCTCCTCCAAACTAGCCCTTGATGAAGAACTAAATTATTTAAAAGGCAATAGCTATTGACAGGGGCTTTCCACCCACATTATTTCAAGCAGTTAAAAAATTCTCATCTCAACACACTAAAAGGCACACTCTTGTTTTAGAGATTATGAAAATTCTGTTGTCATTCGCTTCTTTCCATCAATTAGCTATAAAGTTGCACATATTTTGCAGAATTTAGCTTTCGGGTGTTTATTATCCCATCAATAAAATTCCGAGTTCCATACTCAAGGACCCCATTCCAGATATGAATCCTGGGGTATTTATAGGATTCCTTGCCAGTGTGTTTAATTTACTTGGCCAAACTAAGAGAGCCTTAAAATTTCGCGTCAAGGAACATGAGGCATATGTTAGAAAAAAGGAAACACAGAAGTCTTCTGTTGCTCAACATTGTTGGTCCGAAAACCACACTTTCAATTTTTCTGCTGCCAAAATTATTCAAAAAAACATCTTCCATTGGGAACTGGATTTTCTAGAGGCATTTCACATTCATAAAAATCTTTCTGTTCTGGTTAAATCCTAATTCCAAATTTGCCTTTGCCCTTTAAAGAATTATGTTTTAGTCTGGTTTCACTAACAGATGGTGCCACTTGCTTATTCTTGTCCTTTCTATCTTATCTAATCATTATTTCCTATCTGTCATTTGCGGTTTTGCAGCTGGGATGGTGGTTCGGTAAAACTATCGAAACTAGTCCTGTGAAAATTTTGTAAATATAACGCTGATTTTTGTTGTTTGACTTTTGAATTAGAATTCGATAATATCAGACATTGGACGTCGAAGAAGATGGTGAGCATTACCTCACCTTGCCAAGGGCATAGCTTTGAATTTTTAGGGGGAGGTTATGATGCATGCTATCCTGCTTTGGCTGAAAGTGAAGACACGAGCTCTCGTCTCCAGCGACGATCCGCTTGAGGAAAGTGGGGTCTTCATGATATTGGAACAGACATTACAGTGCTAGCCTCATACTCAGTTTCTTTTTCAGTTCACTGAGCTTCTTCGGAACCCACTGACCATCCAGTGTCACAAACTATCATGCACAATTGTCCACACTGTTCCAGCACTGGCCCCCACCAACACCATCTCATAGAATAAGGCCTGAGCACAAGTGTCTGACTGGTTAGTAACATCACGAGCAAAAGACCTATGCGAAGAGGCCGAAAACTTCTCTCACAATCATCCAGCGATGATGCATGTTTTTACTATACTCTTTCTTTCTAAATTCATATTCTATCTTGCATTCAGAGTCTAATTTTAAATTAAAAATTTTTTATCTCTGGAAAGTTGTTCAGAAATTATGAACAACTAGAACTATAAGTACTGTGTGTAATTTTCCCCCTAAATCCCCAGACACTTGCTTATCAAGCAATGTATGAATAATTAAACTCAAATATAAAAATAAATTCTAAATAATAATAAATTAATTTTAATTAATGATAACTATATATATAATTTAAATAATTATAAATAATGATAATATGCTCCGAAAATTAACGAAGAAATAAACAGTAAGTGAGAAAATTACTGATATTCAGAAATGATACTACAAATAACTAGGATGAAAGAACCGTAAATACTTTGGGCAGCATTTCCTTTCCCTGACATATATTTTTCATTCACATATTTTGGAGAAAATAGATAAAAGAATTTTATCACTGAAGCATTAAATCAAACACTAAAATTTTTTAATTCATTAAATACAAAGAGGCTTGAACAGTATGTATGTTAAAAAGTCTATTCAAATTTGAACTTTTAACTGAAAATGTTTTAAGGAATTTTTTTAAGAATTAATAAAACTATCACTTCAACTGGAAGGCAAAATAAATTGAAACTTGCACTGTAAAGAATTTGTACACGCAAAATGAAAAAATAAAGTTTAAGACATAAAAAGTAATCAACATTGCATAAAGATTTTATTTTTGTTGTCGCACTTTTATAAATAAATTTTTACTTCTGTAGATTAAGTTTAGAATTTCAATGAATTCCAAGTTTCCAGTTTATTTCTTCTGCAGTTTTAAATTTGTTAATTTCTACTA